ATACTTTTGATCAGCCATTCGAACCCAATGCTGGCAAGGAATTCTCCATCGAACAGATATATCGTTTATTGAGAAAAATACTCTGTACAAAACTATTTACATTCGTACGCATGTAGATAGTTACATCGCGTGGTCATTTCGACCTACGCATGATGAACCAGCGAAGGGCTGATCATCGTTGTCCGAGTCAATGTCAGGGGAGGGAGCGTCCATGAGGTCTTCAGGTGGGGCTTCTTCTTGTGTTTCTTCAGGGTTTTTGGTTTCGGGCGAGACGGCGGAGTCTGGGGTTGACTCTATGTCGCAGGAGCCGGAAATAGTATTTCTGCTCATGAGGTTCCTATGGGTGTAGTAGATCTCACAAGAAGAGTTTAGAGTGTCGCCTATGCAAAGCTTTTTAAGTGTTTTGACGAATCTAGGTCTAATGTGCAGCGCGCTTAGTACTTTGTCATTGGCATTGTCCCAAGAACCCAAGGCTCCAACAATGACTGCATCCAGAAATGTTGTGTAACCTTGTTGTTCAAGGGCTGTTTGGAGATGTTTATAATGTGCTATCTTGTGTGCGTGTGCTACTTCAAAAGCCCTGTGGCGGTTCTCAAAGGGTATGGCAATGTCTACAATGGCCGCGGTATGGGTTTTGCGGTTTAGGACTACGATATCTACACTACAATCCATTCCAAGAATGATTATGAATAAGTGGTTACAATCACATCACGTGCATCTCATGCATATTCATTATTTTACAACTTTAACAGCGAAGGAAAATAAATCAGTGATAATACTTACTAGTTTTGTGGAATGAGATCTCCAAATCCAACCGTCGTTAAACTAATGAATGAAAAGTAAAACGAGTCAATAAAGCCCCAGTTTTCGAGAACGCTGAACAGCACTGCGCCAAATGCGATGTACATGAGCATAATGGAAAGCACCAAGAAGACGGGAATGCCTCTCTCGTCCAGAATCAAGTCCTCGTAGCCGAGGGAGACAACCTCGGCACTCGGGTCTTCGACGGTGATACCAAAGCGGCGAAGCAGCGGACATATCTTCCACAACTTTTTTACAAGTCGAAATTTTTGCAGCTGCATGTTTCTGTACAACATCACCGTACCTTCCGAGAGAAATTTGCCAATGTCGCCGATGGTAACAACAGCCAATGGACAACCAAACAGTGCGAACAAAATGCACACAATTCGTCCATGAAAAGTTTTAGGAACAATGTTTCCGTATCCTAAAAACAAAGCCCTCTAATTAATATTTCTTTTCGAGGTTTCGCGATTAACAGTATACATTTGAAAGGTACGATAAATAAGGCGAGTGACCATAATTATTTACAAGTGTATAATAGACTTTTTCACACAAGTAAATAAAAGTTGTCGGTGTCACAACGTGTCTGCAGCTGTCTTACCATTTTGCTAAAGTGAGCGAACTCCACGCTGTTCGATACCTCCTTTGGACTTTTGTAGAAAAGGTATGAAAGAAGAGGACACCGTCTCTCCGAAACTCTTCATCGATTGTTTGGAGGATAAATGGAATAGAAGGGTGGAATTAGCTTCAATGGTGACCAGCTCCGCCATTTAAGGTTTGTGGATGACGTAGAGTTGTTCGCAGAAAACATCAATGATCTGCAAGAGCTTGAAGAAAATAATGTCGAAAGTGGACTGAAAATCGATTGATTAAAACAATGATACTGCGAATGGGTGCCCTGTCTGGAGGACTAGCTAATATTAAACGGCATAATGATCGAAGACGTCGATTAATAAATTTGCCTGAGCCAAGCGATCAATATGAAGGGTGAACAACCGAGAAAGAATCTACGAAGAAAGAGGGGCCGACTAGCACTCATTCCATTCAATCATGGAGATCCTCTTCGACAGCAACAGAAAATATGCTTACGTGCACCCTCAGTTCCATCGTCTTGCCAGCGTCGTTGCATGGCTGTGAGGCGTGGTCACTCACGAAAACTGAGGAACAGCATTTATCGCTGTCATTGAGTGCTATTTAAAGTAAAATATTGGGAATCCCATTCAGCGATCACATCCCCAATACGGTGATCAGACAGCAGACTGGCATGAAGGACTCTGCTGTGCAAGGCAGAAGGAAGAAACTGCAGTGGACTCAGACACATAGCTCTGTTCCCCGACGGGGAAGGTCTGCGCTGATCGCCAAATGGTATCTTCGCGGACGAACTAGGCT